TCAACAAAACCCACAGTTTACATTTACATCAATATATTCTACACGTTATTCCATCACTAAATTTCCATATTTTAATAATTATATAATAAAAAAATAATTAAAATTAGATATATCAAAATCATGTTCATATTGTATTAAATTTTGTTTTAATTAATGAATATCACTATCATTTCTTATATATTTAATAAAATATCAAAATAAAAACACGAGTCTAATTAGATATATAAAATTTAAAACAACAGATTTCTGAAAACGAAATAGCATAAATAAAAAAAATGAAGCAAGAATTTGTCATTATTGTTATAAAAAGTACACGGACAGTTGTATATGTAAATAGCAGCTGCTTGCTAAAACACCACATTTTCCTAACATCTGTATCGCCTAAAAAAAAAGTTTCGACAACGAGACGCAATTCCGAACACGAAAAACAAAAATACGATTTCCTTATGAATAGTCATCCAAAAATCATGCAAATTGAATTGCCCAACACCTTTCCGGTCAAGAATTTATTGCCAAGTACAAATGTTCCACTTGCGCACATATATCTAATTAATATGATAAATGTTAACAAGCGTAAACATATACGCACATACAGAAAAACGGAATCCAAATTAATCGGAAATATATTCAAAAATTTAAGAGAAAAAGAATAACGTGAATTTGGCCTATGAAATAATTAGAAAGAAAAAAAAAATTAGTAAAAAGATGTAATCTCGCGTTTCTCACTGGTTCCTAAAATTTATTCAAATTCATTCTAACGGCAGCGATGCATTTACTTATTTAATTTCTAGTTTGAATTAATTACAGACTCTCTTCTGGTAACACACACTTCCTCTTTCACCTGATACACAAAATACCATTAAAAACGTATTACGGTTAATAAACGCTAGTTTACAAGCAAAACTTATAAATCAATTTGGTATCTTAAATCTTACTGGTTTACTTGTGATTTCGAAAATTGTGTTTGCAAATAATATTTGTGAAGAAAAGTTTACAGTTATTACAGGTACTTGACAGCTTGTAAAGGTGCAGTAATCTCTGTAAAAGATACTAACTGGAACCTTTTGTTAACTTGGGACAAATAGAATGTTTCCAAGAGATGGTCATTAAAATGGTCGAAGAACCTCATAATCTATGATAAAACTCTTATATCAATTGTAAAAGTTCTATGAATGTGAAATAATAGTTCAATAATAAATTCAGTTAACATTGCGAAATTGTCTTAATAACGGTGCGAGGTGATACATTATTATAATTTAATTAATTACGACGATGTGTGTATACTTTTTCTCTGCGTTTTCATAATAATTTACATAAACGTTATTTTATTTCAACACATATAGAAATAAATACAGTGCATAGTTTAATTACTAAATTGACGCTTCACTCCAAAAAATACGCTCTATTTATTTATTTTTTTAATTTAATTGTAACTAAGCATTTGTTTGATATTATGAAAATAAAATTTGTATGCCTGGCAGAAAGACCTATAATTATATATATATTTATTTTGTTCTTTTCAATTCTGTATATGTTTCTTTTTGTACGACTAATGCATTAAACATTCTTATTATTTGTATTGAGTCAAAGAAAACGAAACAAAATGGTCGATGCGCAAAAATGATGATTCTGCAATTGCTGATAGTTACGTCGTTACATATGAAATTATTGTTATTATGTGTAATGATAATTAAACATCGGCGATAGAAAATTGTCCCAATGCATACGCATATAGTGAGTGAATCGAACCGATCGTTCCGATACACACACATAATGAAATATTCATGGCGCCATTCGTTAAACAAAACCATTATATTTTCCACTACTTTACGGACCATTAAAATAATTGCGCCATAAATCATCAAGTGAAAAGAAAAACTATAACCGATACAAATAACACCCAAATAGATGAACAAAACATTAACAATTATTTGTTACATTTTTATATTAATTTTCCTATCCTAATTTAATTAATATTATGTAATTTCAAATATTTTGTAGTTAACTTTTCTAATACTAATTGTTTAATTATATTGCTTATAAAATCATGTTATATTTTTATGTTTGTAATTTTTATAAATAAATATAATTAGAAAGTATTAATGTTTTGGAGATAATCATTTTTCTAAAATAAAAATAATCTTCAAAAATATCTTTATTGAAAACTTTGATTTACTATTGTAAAATTCTATTCATAAATCTTTTTATAGCTATCTAAGTTTTGGATTCAATATAATTTATTGCAACAAACATTTTTTTTGCATATCTGAATCATATAACTAATTTAAATCGCCAACGCAAAACATAATTCAAATGATATACAACAGATTGAAATATATATAATAAAAAAAATCATTTGTACATTTGAATGTGTTTCTAAAACGATAACGACTCGCTACGAAAGTTCCGTGCATAAAGTCCAATCGAACCGATGTAAATTGTTATTCAACATTCATGTTACTGAAAATGCAGACACAAATTCGTAAGTTCGTGATTACGCCGATGAGTTTAACATACAAAATCCATTTCGTTTTTTATTTATTTCTTTCTTTCTGCGATCCCTAAAAGCTATTATGCAATAATTACATTGATTACTTAGTCATTTTCGAATCAATCGCAAAATTATAAGTGTGTCACTTTTAAGTACTTTATTACTTAAAAATAAAGTTTAAAAATCTGTTTGTTACGTGTTTATAAGCATTACTAATATTAAAATCTTTTAATTAAATTAAGGGTAAATTAAGTTTTAAGAAAAAATATATTGTTGAATATTGAATATTTGTATGAAGTAGTAGTTTATAAAATGATTTACATAACACGGAGATCAGCAAAATTATCAGCAAGGACTTATTCGAACGAGCCGGCCGGCGCAGGTGACGCGTGCCGCCATCTAACGGCCGGCTGGAAAGTAACCCCGCTCAATTTTCCGACGCAGGGAAATCTCTGAACTCTTCGTAGAAAATGGAAGCACAAAGAGCTAAGCGCAAAAAATAACAACTGTAGCTCTTACAAATTAAATTCCATTAATAAATAACGAATTACTTAACATCTTTAACTTTCTTCTTAATCTTAAAGTTACTAATCGATAATTGGAAGATGAGGAGGTTGCTGCGATTTTTGTAATAAAACGGACTTCGGGATGATTTTTATAATAAAATATTTATTTGTCCAACAAAAAAAAATAATAGAGAAAAATAATAGTGAGAAAAAGAAAAGTTTCATAACAATATTATTATTTTTTACGTGTTTTTTTTTTAAATATAAATATGTACAATTAAATTAAGCTAGTCTTCTCTATAATATATACAACAAAAGTAAAAATTGTAACAAACAATATGCAAAAGAAATCATATAAATATAGTTATTCAGTTTTACAGTAAAACATAATCGTCATTATCGGATGTTCGCACATACACACACACACTGACACAGATTTTACACCTCTACATGTACAGAAAAGAGACGAAAATATGTATGTATATATCATATATATATATATTGTTGTCGAGGGGATCACAAAAAAAACATACTTATATTTTTTTATTCTAAGGGTCAGTCGTATAGGATTCTTTCTACAAATCTACCACCACACAAGATCGAAACCAAAACAACTGACTGTATATATAGAAAAGAAACGAAGGTGCATACGTATACATAAAATGAACAACGAAAAGAACCTTTCCTAGAAGGCCGAAACGTGTGTGGATCTTCGCTCCAACCCAAGACAAGTTATATAAAAGTATAAATCACGTCATTTATTTGAATGCGGAATAAATATATATATATATATTAAAGATGAAAGAAAGAAAAAACACGAGTTATAATCAATTTTTCAAATTATATTTTTTTTAAACAACAAAACATGCTTTACAAAATTGTACACTTAAATCAACAGGATTGCACAAAACACAAACTTAAATAAGATTCAGAACATAAATATTACGTATTCTTTGCGTTAACTTAAAACAAATAAATACACTTATAAAATAATATTAAACTGAGATTATTTTCGCATCCAGGAAACGGACGTTAGTACATAAATGATTTTTTTAAAATTTCAACACTGTTTTGGGGTGGTGTCCATCAGATATACTTTCGGGAATTACACGGTTGAAGCGCACGAAAAATTATATATTAAAAAGGATAAGAAAGCGAAACAGGTGCAACGTTTTTCCCCTCGTTTAAGCAATCTCCGAAATTGAGCAGTAGTTAAAAGCAAACAAATTTCTTTGAGGAAAAAAAAGGTTTAAAAACTCACCCGGCTATATTTCCAATTGGATTTTGAACGTTTGCACTGGTTTATCACAAATTTTCTTTTTTTTTTTCGTCATTGCCTAATATATAATTTCTCGTGTGCTGATCGTGAATGTGTTTTTTTTTTCTCTATTGTTATTGTTGTAGAAGGGTCAGTGTATGAAATAAAAAGGTGGTTTAATTTTTAAAAACATTTTCGATTTAATTCTTTCTTGTTTTTTTTTTTGTCACACCGTACAACGTTATATAATATTAATATAATAATAAATATATACACATATTTCTATTATGACCAAAGAACGTGGAAACAGTACGGTATTTTCATATCTTCCTTCCTTATTTGAAACAAAAGCAAAATAAAATAATCTTTTTGAATTCGAATTCTCGTGGACATAGAATTAATTAACAAAATAATAATAATAGGAAAAATATTGTCTTATGAAAAAAAATAATAGAAAATATAATAAACAGCTCCATTTCAATTTAAACTGACTTTTGTTGATTCACAAATGCAAATTATAACCGAAATTAAAAATGAGAGTTAAATCTTGTATTTTAATTTTCTTTATTTTTTTTAAAACAACGCAAAGAACAGTATATTCTTCCTTTCCAAATAGTGAGTTGACATCAACCTCGTTTTATTTTTCTTCATATAGTTTTATTTTGTTTTAAATATATATATATATAATATATACGACATTCTATACATTATAAACTTACTTTGTAATTGTATTTTTTCTGGTTACCGTCCCGGTGTATATTTTTTTTTATTTATTTATTTTTTATTTAATTAATTTAACTTAGATGTTCTTATTATTCTCATAATCTTTTGTTTTTATTTATTTATGTTTTTAGTAGAAATCACGAAATTGCTACCGCAATGTTTTTTCTCTTCTCTGCGTCTTCGGTTTGTAAGTCCTTCAAAAGTCCCTTGGCTCGTCTTCTCGACTCCTTCTCACGTCTATGTACAATGCTTCTAAAATCTTCGATTAATTCTTCTCGTCCTCATATATTACACGTCCGCTGCAGTTAGCGTCTCAATATCACTCTCTTCTTATATACATTAATTTACAGTTCGTGTTTTAGGTTTATTCTTTTTGTTAAGTTAAGGTACACTCGCGCACTGAGGCGCTATATATTTTTATATATATATTATTTATATATTCTTGTGTTAAGTTTCACTGGTGCCCACTGACTCCCCCAAGATGCGAATTTCTATCGGGGTGGTTGTTGCTGAGGTAGCAATATAAGATAGTTAAAAGTGTCTATGCGCCGTTATTTGGACGGGCCGTCGCTTCCTATTCAAGTTTCGAGAGTAAATCTTGGGGATTTTGAAATCGCTGCTAGCCATTATCGCTGTGGTGGAGTAGTGAGGCCCAGTGGGCTGGATGCTAGTGGGCCGTCAACTGGTGACCCATGCCTTGGGGGGATAACATTGGCGGACTGTGGGAGTGCGAATGCTGACCCATGGGGGAGCCGTGCATGTCGGGGTGGTGGCCGTAGCCGGGGTGCATGTGTCCACCTGGTGGCATGCCGTCCATCATGTCACCGCCAAGAGTGTTGGGCGGCGTCATCCTCTTCTCTTTCTGCCTCCTGTTGCAAAACCACACTCGCACAACTTCCTTCTCTAATTGCAAACTATCTGCTAGCGACGTGATCTCCTGTGCCGACGGCTTCGGCTGCTTGTGGAAGTGCTGCTCGAGTGCGCCCTTCACCGACACTTCTATGCTGGTGCGCTTTTTCCTCTTCCTGCCCTGTGCTGCGATCTTATCGATCGAGGTCGGAGATCCCGTCGTCGAGTCAGCCTCCTCCAGCCACTTCTGCAGCAAAGGCTTCAGCTTGCACATATTCTTGAAACTAAGTTGCAGCGCTTCAAACCTGCAGATCGTCGTCTGCGAAAATACGTTGCCGTACAGGGTGCCAAGTGCCAAACCAACGTCCGCTTGAGTGAAACCCAACTTGATACGCCTCTGCTTGAATTGCTTTGCGAATGCTTCGAGGTCGTCGCTGGTGGGAGTCTCGTCTTCACCGCCGCTCACCACGTCCCTATCGCCGGGATGTTGTACGTGATGCGGACTTTGCATGTCTCTGTGCAGGGGATGGTGGAGTTGAGGCGCGGCTTGGTGATGGGCGATCATACCGTTCATGGCTGCATGGTACTGCTGAAGAGGAGATCCGGCACCGCCGGGGTTGTAATGTGCCGAGGAGACGGGCGCGTGCCACGCGTGAGGGGATCCCATACTCTGTTGCTGTTGTTGCCTGTGGTGCAGCATATCAGCCTGCTGACTCAGTGGTTTCACATCTTGGTGTGGATGATGATGGTGTGCGTGGTGCATCCCCGCCATGGAAGCGGTCCATGGATCAGCTCCAGGTTGAAGGCTGACCCAGGGGTTGGCGGTGGATAGGGAGACGGCCGCGTGGCCGCTGGGCGACGGCGAACTGGCCATTTGATGGTGATGATGGTGGTGATGTTGTGGCAGGTATTTCATTTCGCTAGCGTCTGCAGCAGACCTCGGGGAGGCGCTGGTGTGATAACCTCCGACAATATTCATTACTCCGACGCCACCGTCCAAATCTGATGCCGTAACCGCACTGCTTGCTGGAAGGTACGTGGTGGCCGCCATATGCCCTTTGGAGGGCAGTAATAATAAGTCCTTCTCCAAACGCACTGAGATCACTTTTTGTTCCACTCCTCCAAATCAAGGAACAACTTATTCAACAGTTCAAAAGCTGCAATCGCTTGCGATTGCGAACGGAATTATTCAACAACAACAAACAAAAAAACAAAATCGTATAACAGGTAGAACTGATCAGCACACTGTTGCGAATATACGCTCTCGTCGTCAACGGACCGCTCTCGGAGGAGAGATCGAGAGATACATGTAGTGCAGAGAGTGTGGTGTAGTTGTATCGTATCTAACTATCTATGTGTGCATAGTATAGTAGTATATATCTGTTTGTATGTCTGTCTTTCTATCTGTCAGCACGCTCTCATGTGTTATGCATATCACTGGCACGCACGACGACTCTGAATGTACTACTAACACGATGCGGCTGCTCACCGGAGCTGCCAACTCTGGCCACCTTTTTACCCCCACTGCAGAACGCCCCCACCAAAGGGTGCGCGCGCCATTGGCCGTGCATCACTCGCCGACCTGGGGGTCACGTGGTCTGACGTCACTCGAGAAGGCTTGCGACTGGTTCGATACCGGGCGCAGACCGCCTGGAATCCTCGGCCCCACCACCCGGAGGGGAAGTGTTTACACTCTGTAGCGCACGGTAGCTAAGCAACAGAGCGTGCCGAACTCACATACTAACCGACGGCAGCCCCGGACCAGCAACCCCAAACCCTCAAAAAACTGCACAACAACTAAATATCTATAGATATAGATATATGTACAATAGTTACAAACAACTTTGCAATGCTTACATTTCAACCACTAACAAAAAAATTGTTAATAAAACATCTTTTATATACAGAAAAACAATAACAATTTCTTAACTTTTTAAAAAATAATTTATTAAACAATCGCAGACATTAATTATCCAATATGTAAATATAAGTACTAACAAATATGATTTATTTACTTAAATAAACTTTATAAGTATAATTTGCTTATTTCATTTAAACATTGATTCTTTATAAAAGATACATAATATTTTTATGTTATCTTTTGTCATTTTAATAGTAGACATTAGTATAAATTATTAACATTTAAAGTAATAATATCTATTATAATGATTTAGTACTCTTAATAATTTAAATTTTGTAATAATTCATTATAAATCAAATTAAGTATAATTGAACAAAAATATGTTAAATCTATTTAGGAAACAAATTACTTTAACAACTTTTTTAGTTCGTAATACAAAGTTATTCTTTACAATCTGACAACGCAAATGTAATATTAGAATTGAATTAATGTAATATATATTATTTAAAGTTTACAATTAATTAAATTTTTATCTATTACTAAAAATAATTATTGAATTGATTTTGAATCAAATTAATCACAAATATAAATGTATTTATTAATTTATGAATTAAAATAGTTCACATATTTTTCAATTACGTGATACTTTTGATATTTAGAATTCACTATTAAAATGTATGCTAAAAATGACATATTGTGATAGTAAAATTCACAGTCGATTAAAATTTCATCTATTCTTAAAAAATATTTATTAATTGTTATAATATTCAAGTAAATCAATTAAAATGATTTATTACTATTTTATAATATTATTACAAACATATCAATAAACACATGTATATTTTATGTATATAATTAATTTACTGCGTTTTTTTTTTATTAAGAACATAAAATATTTAAAAATTGAATATTAATAAACACATTGATTTCATAAAATTGGCTATTAAAATTAACATATTTATATGAAAATCATTGATTTTTTTCGGACAGGTTTAATTCACTTTATTTTAAAGTAAATCGCGCAAACATTTTTAATGCAGAAATTTTTAAAAGAAAGTGCACATTTTTAATTTATTATATTTTTTTTAAGAGCAAATTCTACAATTATATTAAAGCAAAAATAATAATATTATTTTGAAAAATATTATAATTGAATAACATTTATCAATTATAATTAAAATTTTATTATTTTAATAATCATTTATTTTACGTTTTCGAATAATTGATAATAAATATTTATAAAACAAGAAAATAATTCTATTTTTCCAGAAACTGCTGCCTCATATTGAATACGTGAAGTTTATAGGAAAATAGCAATTTAATAGTTTACACCTGTTTAATTATTTTATTAGTAATATTTGCTGAAAATAAGCGGTATTCTCATATAACAATTACATAATAATAAATTTATTTGATTAATTTTTATTTTATATAAATAACGTAAAAAAATGTATTGGAAATAAAATCTTTATTTTGTATTGTATTTAAATATTATTATTAGAATCAAATAGGTATAAAATAAAATAGATTATATATTTTTTTTCTTGCGTTTAGAAAATGATTCAACGAGAACGACCCTAGCTAGTAATGTTAGAATATGTGCTCGAGCCAGAGCCGGTATATCCATCTTGCGGATAAAGTCGGAACTTAACGCAATGCTATTTGGATGCAAGATTTTGGAGGCTTGCATGTCTTAAATCATTTACATTTTCCAATTAACGTGTTTAATTAGCAGATGGAAACAATTAATTGGTATCACAGAGTAATTTACCTGTTTACCTGTAATATTAAAATACGTGATAACGAGAATTATATCGCATTTATCTCGATGATATTAATTAAGATGAATTATATATTATTAATAAAATGAATATTTCCGTGGTTTTTCGTAATACGCTTCAAACTTTTCACTGTGTTTTTTTGTTTCACCTGCCGCACTAACCGAACACTAATTTGAATACCACCGCCGTGTGATACGTTTCTGCTACCTACGTTTTCTTGTAAATTGCGTATAATGCATACATTCCTTTACCTCGTAAATAATAAATTATAAAATAGTATTTGTAGTTAGCAACTTTTAATTTCATTTCAACATATTTAATATTTATTATATTTTATAACGTTCATTCATAATTTTAGAATATTCTGCGTTCGCTTTAAATAATTTAATAATTAAACCGTAGTAATTTACTGTATATTTTAATTGATCAATTTATTCAATTAAGCAATTAAATGTAAACGAAAGATTACATTTAAAAAAGTTTGGATGTAAGTGGATTATCGATATTTTTGCTTCAATTTCTAATATAGAAATGTTTTCTATATAAATGGTTTTTGACGATTACGGTTAGGTTATGCAGTTCCTCAAGCGCCCAATAAATCTCCTTTCGGTTTTACGAATGACTTTTCCCATAGACCTACGTAGTAAAACTAATCCTTTTTTTCATTCCTCTGGTCTACCATTTATTGCACCCATTTTACTATCTCAACAATATTCTTTATAAACTAACCAATTTTATAGATCTGTTGATATTTTAACAACCAAACATTTACAAAAATGTTTTTTTAAGAATGTCGGTTTTGAGTTTTAAATTTACTGAATGGACAATATTATGTATGCAAATTGTAAAATGCGTCTATTTTTGTTTAATATAAATGACTTAATGATATGTGAATATTTACGACTTATACGAAAATATTTATAGTAAAATTCATAGATTAATTAAAGCGCACAAAAAAATAATAAATTAATAAGCTAAAATTCGTAAATTAAAGTAAGATTTGAGAAAATAGTGCATTGTATTAAATTCCAAATTAATTTATATATAAAAATAAGCTAAATGAAAAAAAAAACAAAGTTCATCCAAATATCAATCACCATCATTATGAACAGAATAATTATAAAATATATGGTTTTTTAACAATTAATTGAATGAAAAAGTCAAAATTCTATGAGATAGAAATGTTGTGTATTAAAGTAGATAATGTTAAGAAATTGTAAATGTTTAGTTGTTTTGTTAAGGGAGTCCCAGGAGTGTCGGGGATGAGGAAAATCAGAGGAAGTCGTGGTAAGGTCGTCTGGGGCTCCAGTACTGTTATATAAGCTCAAACATGTGTTTTAAATTGTACGCTCCGATGATAATAATAATACATAAAGTCGTTTTCGTGACCGGACAATGGAGGAAATCCCGAGGGCCGTTCTGGTCTCAATGGGCCACCATCGAAAAGTGTACCTGTGAGCAAGAGCACCATGTGGCAACGAACCTCCTAGTTCCTTCCAGTTCCACCGACGAGTTGGAGACAAAGAACTAGTGAGAAAACGAAGAAGTGCCAGAATTCACGGGAATAAGATCACAACAACAAAATGGACACGTCCCTGTGCGATGCGAAAGTTTCCAAATCAATATATTCGCCTGGAGCGATGCGACTAAAGCAAAGTGCGAAGAAACTCTAATTCAGAGCATTTCGATGATTCCGTTAATGAATTTTGATTAATTGGATGGGGCTTTACACGGTCCGACGGTGCTCATTGTTTAATTGCCATTAAAATATTCCGCGCCGCGTATCTTATTAGTTCATTTCTATTTCGGTAGTTGCGGCAATTAAGTCCTAATTAAGTGGGCAATAAATTGTGTTAATTAAAATGAAGATGAAAATAAAATAAAAAATAATGCACCTTTCTTTTGGTTGTTATTGTTTGTATTTTTTTTGGAGGGTAATGATGTTGATGATGGTGAGAGTGACCTGCGTTCGTATTATGTGTGTGTGTATATATATATAAATCTACCCCCGATGGAATGTTTAGGACTGCATACATATGTATTAGTCTGCAAGTGCTAATGCCCCATTGTATTGCAAATTCCATGTTAATTTTGTGGCACTAGCCGTATGATTTGTTCATAGCAGCAACAGGTGACTCCCCGGATTTAAATTAGTTCCTTTTTTATATATATTTTCAGCGCGCATATATAAACTGTTCTCTCTCTCTCTTCCTTCTGCTCCCCCTTTTTTTTTTATCTGGAAGAGAAACTTTTTCCGCGGCGCGAAATGCAAATGCTCTTCCTCTTCCCCGGATTATGTAAACTCAATTTCCTACCTGAGACGACGACGGGGCGTAGCGTCTCCGAAGAGGTGGCGACGTCACAGGACACCTCGCGTCCTCCTCTTGCGACACCTGAAAACCTATCATCAGGAATCGGGAGAGTCGTTCGGATTCTCATCCTCTCCATCCGTCGGATACCAGTTAACAATGTGCTTCGCGACACCCCTACGGTGTCTGCTGTCTTGTTGCTTTGGACCCCTTCTATTTTTTTTTATTTCTCTCTCGTCGAGCCTCTCTTCACAACGATTCTGAATAGGCAGATATAACCTTTCTCTCCCGAAACTGATTTGTCTCCTTTCAATGGACCCCATCGCACACAACCATTGTTCGCAGCCTCTTCTTCTTCTACTCTACTCTTTACCATCGTCATTACTATTATTTTCCATCGCTCCAGATCTTGTTCGCATTTAACGAACTCGATGTTGCTCGATCCACAACTTTACGTCTTTTTCTTCTATATACATTCAGCATCCCCCGTAGATCTCAATCGAAACCAAATTTAATTCACTTCTCGTCCACAATGAGAATTAGGTCAATGGAATTTGACGTAAAACTTTTTTTTAATATGACATAAATTAACGTTAACAAACTTGATTTTTTTTAACTTGAGAATTTATAAAATAGAAGAAAAACACGAAATAATTGTTTTTCCAATTTTTTTTTATTTATACAAAATTATTTACATTTTCTTATATACAAAATATATTTCTTCTAGTTGATGCTGATTTTTAATATAAATAATCAATAACTAAAACTAAACTAATATTTCTACAATTTCTATTCACAATTATACAAACAATATTTATAATAAAATTCGGATAATAAAAATTAGAAATTATTGCAGGTATTGTTAGACTAAAAGCAAATATTAGTTTTTGTTTAACTATGTATAATTTCTTAAATATTTAATAAAGATAAGGTATCTGTCATGTTTGCGGTTACTCTCTTCCAGGCATTGCTTATTTACATTTACAGCATCCGTGTTATCGGATTTTAGGCTGTTTGAGGGTAATAATTCTTAAGGCGCAAAGAAAACTTCAAATGAAAGAATTATTTCTTTTCACATCATTATTATGTTTGTATTTTCTAGATAACAATACAGAATTGTGTCGTATTGATTCGTTACGATTTCGCACATTGGGACAAATTTTGTTTAATAATATAAAACGATGATTTTAAGAAAATAACGACTTAAAAGTTTTAAAAATAAACGGAAATTCAAATTGTATTTCAAAGATTCAAATATATTAAAGAAATAATAAACATTGATAAGTTATATCAAGAAAATATTTAGTAACTTATTGATAATCATAAAAAAAATACAGAAAATTACAAAACACTTAAATATTTACTATTATAATTTATTGAATAATAATAGATTAAGTTATATAAAATTTCAGAAATTTAATTTATTTATTTAATTCTGAAGAAAATGTAAAGGTTATATTAATTTTTATTGACTAAATTTGTTAGAATATTAATTAAAACTGAATGTAAAAATTCGAAATATTTTTTACATCAATTCATGAGTTGGTAAAAATCTGTGCTCTTCACCTGTCCAATGTATGCAGAGCAAATGTAACTGAATTTTCAATTAGGTTTTTTGTCGAGCACCAGTTGTGCTATGAGGCGCCATCTCTGCGCCGGAAGCCGAATCGTCCCGGGCGGCGCCACGGATTCCGAACGTTGCGTAACCAAAGTGCTTCCGGCGATCCGGACCTCTCGTTTTTGCTCGTTTTTGTGCTACAGATTTCGTCGCATACCGAGCGCAAACGGTGGCAAATTCAAAATGCACAAAAAAAAGCGCATCGTTCGTAATTGCGATTGATGGTAACACGCTCCGATTATGTAAGGAACTGAAAGCACTGGAAAATGGAAACAAGAGAAGATATACATAATGAAGTGGGGCTTTTGAATTAATTTGAATATTAAAGTGTTGAGCCCCACGAGGTTCGCTTATGGTAATGCGCGTAGGGCCCAGACACAATGGGACACCACAATGGTAATTGTTTGGTCGACACTTCGAGTGCCGTTTTCGAAGAATATTTTCTACTGATAACCTTCGACCGATAACAGTGGACCTTCTTCCTGTCTTCTTCATCTTTGAAATGCTTCTTTCAGTTCATGGGCTTAGCTTATGTACACATACGTAGTTTACCTTAATCGAACATTGACCTTTTTTTGACGTAATCAATATTCATTTTATAAGTTGCTTTCACTTATTGGATTAATCAAGCAGAAATAATTAGGCTATTAGAGGAAACTCACACTAGAAATATTATATATGTATATTTATAATTGTTTTTATTGATGAGTATTGAAATAATGTTTTTAATAAATAATAATAACACAATTAATTAATTATGAAACTAAATACGCTTATATAACACGAGGGTCAAATTTACCAATATATAAGACAGGAAATATCAAAATAACACTCGGAAAAGAAAACATGTTACTCTTGAATAGACGTTTAAGCAATAAATACATTTGCGTGATGATGCTTTCATAAATAATATAAGAGACTTATCCTTGGCTTATTTTTTTTATTAGTGTTACCATTGCGTGTTACCTGTTCTTGGCTCTATATAAAGTTCGTGCACCATTGAAACGCAACATTTGGAAACTTGGTTTAATCGAAGATGGTAAGTCGTTAAGTCAGCTCATACTTATTTTGTTAACAAATCTTTATCTTGCAGATCATCGTACCGGTAGCCTTGATATTAATCATAGCATTTTTGATATGGTATAATTTAATATCGAAGAAGTACAACTATTGGAAGGAACGCAACATCCCGTATCTGCAACCAAAGTTTCCTTTTGGAAATTTCAAAAGTGTATTGTTCTTCCGTGATTCCTTGGGAGAATTCTTCCAGAACATTTACAATGCTTCAAAGGAGTGCGTTGTTGGTATCTGGATTTTCGGACAACCTCTTATAGTAATCAGATCTCCTGATATCATAAAAGAAATGTTGATTAAAGATTTCGGGACGTTCAAAGATCGCACGGTTTTTAGTAATAAGGATGCGGATCCCGTCTGTGCCCACATGATGTTTCTCACAAAAAATCCGCAATGGAAGATCATTCGTCAGAAAATGTCTCCATTATTTACCACCACTAAACTGAAGGACATGATTAAGCTGATGAACAAGTCAGGAGATGATATGAACGAGTATTTGGATAAGCACAATGGTGGAATATTTGACGCCAAAGAGTTGTGCATGAAGTACACCGTCGATGTAATTACCTCAATTGGCTTCGGACTTGATGCGATGTGCTTCAAGAAGGAATCAGCAGAATTCAGAACAGTAGCTGGAGGTTTGTTCGAAGCAAGTGCTGAAAACTATATTCGTTTCGTCAGTTATTTCCTTGTTCCTGGAATTGCCAAGTTCTTCGGAATAGCCTTCTTCAATCCTACGCGCATTGACTTCTTGAGGAAAGCTGTCTGGGATGTCATAGATCACAGGACACGTACGCAAACGAAACGCAATGATTTAATTGACGCGTACATAACATTAATGGGAACTAACTTCTCGGATGGTTTTAAATTTGGTAATATAATTAGTAAATTCATCCAATTTATTGTATTAATTGATAATGTTCGTAGAGGGCGACAAACTTGTAAGTCAAGCTGTACAATTCTTTGCGGCTGGATTTGAGACAACAAGCTCGACGATTGCATTCACACTATACGAGCTTAGCTTCCACCAAACGATTCAAGATAAACTACGCAAAGAAATACAGCAAATCGACGAAACCGAAGTGACTTATGAAAGCATCCAAAATATGCATTATTTGGACCAAGTAGTTTCAGGTATATTAATATTATTTTTTATGAACCTGCTTATAATAATTTGCTTTTACAGAGACTTTAAGAAAATATCCGGCTTTACCGTTTTTGGATCGGCGGTGCGAAATGGATTACAAGATACCTAACACCGAGATGGTTATCGAAAAAGGGACACCGGTCTACTTCTCTATTTTGGGTTTGCACTATGATCCTTTATATTTCCCCAATCCGCAAGCGTTTGACCCTGAACGATTCACACCCGAAAATCTTCAGTTCATTCAACCTAATACTTACATACCATTCGGACTTGGACCGAGAAATTGCATAGGTATTTTTTTTTTTAATTTTGAAAAAAATTGTTAATTGAAATTACGTTTTAGGAAAACGACTGGGAGTGATCGGAACGAAGCTAAGTTTGATCAAAATACTAAGTAAATACAGGGTGGAGACATGTCCAGAAACGGTGAAGACAATTAAATTTGACCCGCTTGCTTTCACCATCGCTCTGAAACACGGATTGAAAGTGAAATTTACGAAATTATAATTTTATTTAATTCATTTACTTTTATTGTTTGTGATTGTTTTGTTTTTTAAATTCGAAAATGATAAACTGGCTTTTATTATTGTTATTTTGTTTCTAATTCATACTATTGTTAATACTATTTTATCCATATGAAGAATTTGTGAATTCAAACTCTAATAAAATTAGATCATATTTGTGTGACTTTATAATTCATAATATGTTATTTTCTTTTTTATATTCATTTTTTATTAAATTTAGTTCGAGATATTTGCTGATCGATTCGAAAGCTTTATAAGCAATGTGCAAAATAAAGTACAAACTCATTAATATTTAAGCTTAATAAGATTGACTTATCTGATAAAATATAAAGTGTATAATTATTGATTAATTGAGATATTTTAAGCTTTTATTTAATCAAGAAAATATAAGATTACTTCGTGCGCATTCTCTATGCACAAAGTCTAATTGAAGGTCAACAATATCCAAAATCAGAATGTATGAAAAAAAAACAAACAGTTAGGTCAAGAAGGCATCATAAAGTTACTACTCAAAGTATGAGATTGACTTTCGTGAAATTATTTTATGCATTTTTTAATTGGTTTACAAAAACAAATAAATAATAAGCATATGAACGTTACTATATAAGAAAATTATTGCTGTTTAATATCAGTATGTAAATTGTTGAGTTTGTGTGAACTTATGCAAAATGGTAAGATAATTTTAAATTCAAATTTAAATTATAATAAATTATATTATTTAGATTGTGATTTTAATTGCCTTGGTGCTAATAGTAGCAATTATGATATGCTACATATGGATAACAAAGAACTACAATTATTGGAAGGACCGAAATATACCATACATTAAACCAACGTTTCCATTTGGAAATTTCAAAGATATGGTGTTCTTCCGCTTTTCAATTGGAGAATACTTTCAAAGTATATACAATGCTTCGAAAGAAAGCATAGTTGGAATCTGGGTCTTTGGTGAACCAATGCTAATAATACGTTCACCTGCAATAATCAAGCAAATTTTAATTAAGGATTTTATAAATTTCCGTGATCGCACTGTTCTCGCTAACGAAGAAGCGGATCCAATTTGTGCGAATATGTTGTTCTTTAGTAAAAATCCCCAGTGGAGAACTATGCGTCAAAAAATGTCACCATTGTTAACAATATTGAAGCTGAAGGATATGATTTTTTTGATGAACAAGTCTGGAGACGATATGTTACATTACATGAGCAAAAATGCCTGTAAAGTATACGATCTCAAAGAAATATGCATGGATTATACTGTGGATTTCATGGCTTCTATAAGTTTCGGAATCTCTGCTTCGTGTTTCGAGAAGAAAGAATCCGAATTCAAAGACGCTGCAAATTCTATATTTTTACCAAGTATTGGGAATTATCTGCGATTCGGATTTAATTTTATGATACCAACAATTGCCAAGTGGTTTAAATTACCTTTCTTTGATCTGAAAAGTATGGATTTCTTTAGGAAAACCTTTTGGAATGTGATAAATCAACGAAACAAAGATTGCATTAATCGAAGGGATTTGATAAACTCGTACATAAAATTGATGAAATCTGATAGTTTCAATGGATACAAGTTTGGTGGGATTGATTTTATACTTATTTTAATTTAACTATTATTATATTTTTATATTTTATTATATTTTACGTAGAAGGAGATAAGGTTGTTGGTCAAGCTGTACAATTTTTTGCTGCGGGTTTTGAAACAACAAGTATAACAATTGCGTACACTCTGTACGAGCTCAGTTTGCATCAAACGATTCAAGATAAATTACGTGAAGAAATCTGTTTGAAGTATGTACCTGGATCTGATGTAACATATGAATTGTTAAAGGATCTAACTTATTTAGGACAAGTCGTCTCAGGTAACATCTTATATACAAAAACAATTTGAATATTAAGATTCTCTTTAATTTCAGAGTCTTTACGAAAATACCCGGCTTTAGCATTCTTGGATAGAAGATGTTGTATGAATTATAAAATACCAAATACTGATTTTATATTAGAAAAAGGTACAGCAGTATACATTTCTGTTTTCGGATTGCATTACGATCCGGAATTTTTTCCAAATCCGTACAAATTTGACCCAGATCGATTCTCACCGGAAAACATCAAATCCATTAATCTTGATGCCTACATTCCATTTGGTAATGGGCCTAGAGGTTGTCTTGGTAAGTACAATATAAGAAGTAGTTTGAGAAATGTATAAAATTAAATAAATTTGTAGGTAAACGATTGGGACTAATAGGAAGTAAATTATGTTTGATTAAATTGTTGAGTGAATACAAGGTGGAACCATGTTTGGAGACAACGAAAAATCTCAAATTTGATATCATGTCTTTTACAACTTCTTCATCGGATGGATTCAAATTGAAGTTCACTAAGTTATAAAATAAAGGAATTCTTTAGAATTTAATTTATGAAATTGTATTAATTTAGTAATATTTAATTTATAATTACAACTAAGTAACTTTAATGTAATAAAAGAATAAACTTAATTGACAAGCAATTCCTTGTATTACCGTACCATTTAAATCGAGGACTAATCGAGGATTTTAAAACTGCATAAAAAGGAACTTGATTATATAGAGGAAGAAAAAGATAATTTTGTGTACTGATTTTTTAGAATTAATTTGAACTTTCTTCAATTATTAATTATTTTTCACAGTTTTAATACTACTATAGTGAATCCGCCTAATCAAAATCGCACTATTCGAGGTATTGCTAAACATCAAAATTTAAAGTATTTTATTTCAATAAAAAATAATAAAAGACTAAATAAAATAGTAATGAAGAAATTAATATAATTAAAATAAAAGGCAGGAAGATCTATGGTCAATAGCCCTTTGAAGCAGGTGACTTTTTTGATTTATGATATTTATATTATTGTATTGAGATTTTTTTATTTTGTAATTTTGCTGTTTCAATAAATATTATTATTATTAAAACAAAATATTTTTGTAACAAAAACGAGTTTAAACCGTTCCAAAATTTCTGGATTTTTACTCGTATAGTAAAACAGATTCAAAAATACACATAATATGTCTACACAAGTTTTAAAAATGATGTAGCAGGCGCGCAATCCGAAACTTCTCTTCTCATCTTCACTCGTTATGCGAAACGTCGCTCGTTAAGCGAATAATTTTTCTTACAATTCATTTTGCTCGTTATGCGAGGTGCTCGTTAAGCGAGGTTCCACTGTAATTAATAATGTGACAAAAAGCATACGACCTAGAACTGCACCAATAATTGAGTGAGTAAATAATATATAAATAAATTTGCTTAGTTTGTGAACGCAAATTTAGTATCACGATGATTATTACTTTTCATAGTTAATAAACAATTTCTGATAATTATTATTTATTAATCAAAGATTGTTTACTACTGATAAATCAGTGAAAATGCTTCTCTAATTAAGAATAATCTTAATAATATTCCACAGAATTATAGAAAAGTGAGTGAGGTCAAAAAGGCATCAATTAAATTGAAAAAATATATTTATTTTGGTCTCTATAAAAGCACATTTGATAAACTAAATAAAAGTATTTGAATAGTTGATTTCGTGCCAGTAAAATGGTAATAGATGATAAGTAATACGAAATATTATAATCAAATATAATTTTCAGATCGTATTTACAATTGCCATAATCCTAATAGGAGGTGTTCTCATATTCTACCTAATAATCACAAAGAACTACAGCTATTGGAGTGATCGCAATACACCATTCATCAAACCAAAATTTCCATTCGGAAACATTAAAGATGTTGTATTTCGACGTGCTTCAATTCGACAATTCTTCCAGAATATCTACAATTCTTCAAAGGAAAGCATCGTTGGAACGTGGGTGATCGATAGACCAGTTGTAGTGATACGATCATTGGATATCATTAAACAGATTTTAATAAAGGATTTTACAACTTTTAACGATCGCAACACTATTTTCAAAGAGGAAAGAGATCCTATACTTGCTAATATGTTGTTCTTCTGTAGTAATCCCCTCTGGAGATATATACGACAGAATATGTCACCCATGTTTACAACATTAAAACTGAAAGAGATGATTTTCTTAATGAACAAGAACGGAGACGACATGTTACAATATATGCAGGAAACTAATTGCGATGTCTATGATCTCAAGGCAATATTCATGAAGTATACGGTGGATGCTATAACCTCTCTCGGTTTCGGTATTAATGCTATGTGCTTTGAAAAAAATGACTCTAAATTTATGACAGTTGCCAAAGATTTATTTTCACCGACTACAGGAAATTATACACGAATTCTTAGTCTCTTCATGATGCCAAAAATTTCCAAATGGTTAAAAATACATTTCTTCAATATAAAACAACTCGAGTTCCTAAACAAAGCAGTTTGGGATATTATAAATGTGAGACATAAATTTTCTTCTAAGGGAAAGGATTTAATTAGCACGTATATAGATTTGATGAAACTTGAATCTTCAAATGGATATAAATTTGGTATTAATTTTTAATTTATTTGTTTATAAAGTTTAACATTTTTATTTTAATAGAAGGAGATAGGGTTTCATCCCAAGCCATGCAATTCTTTGTCGCAGGATTTGAAACGATAAGTTCAACTATTGCTTTCACTTTATACGAGATCAGTTTTAACCAAAAGATACAAGACAAATTGCGTGAAGAGATCAGTTCAAAATATTCGCTTGGAACTGAAGTAACGTATCAATTAATGAAGGATTTTACTTATTTAGATCAAGTTATTTCAGGTAATCATCAATAGCATAAATAAACCATTGCTGTATTTTTATTAATATTTTCAGAAACTCTGCGAAAATACCCGATTTTACCATTTTTGGACAGATGTTGCAATTCCGATTTATATACCAAATAGCAATTACGTAATTGAAAAGGGGATTTCCGTTTATATTTCTATTTTGGGTTTGCACTACGATCCGGAATATTTTCCCGATCCCCACGTATATGATCCAGAACGATTCTCACCGGAAAACATCGAATCCAGCAATTTTGATGCGTATATTCCCTTTGGAATTGGGCCTAGGAATTGCGTCGGTAAGTGCAATATAAATATTTAATATTAGAAAATGATGACATTCAATAAATTTAGGTAAAAGACTTGGACTGAATGGAACTAAATTGTGCTTAATAATTGAGTGAATACAAGGTGGAAACGTGTCCGGAGACAACGAAAAATATCAAGTTTGATCCCATGAGTTTCACAATTGCATCAAAAAATAATTTAAAAGTAAAGTTTACAAAATTGTAAAAACATTGTTAAAAACGATCAATTTGTATTAATTATATTTGAAGAACACATCTATTTTGGTTATGTTTATTTTAAGTAGAAATAAGAAAGCCTTCGAATAAACGTTGCATAGTATTTATTTTATAATGTATTTCTGTGAACATTAAGTATATCTTATGGCGGTTTAAATTTATTTTTTGGTAAACTTTTCCAATGGAAGTTTGACATTCTTTTCTTCTCTATTCTTTACAAATTTGTTGGTTGATTTTATCGTGTAGGTAAACTCAATAGTATATTGATACGCTGCGATTCCATCATTCCATCCATGTATCTGAAGCTTTCCTTAATACTATCAGTGTCCATCGACTTGGATGGAGATCTATATGGTAAACTTCATGTGATTTCCATTCATGATGAACGATGGTTCTAATACAAGCTTATGAGAAAGGTAACTTAACCATTCGACTATTCGTCGCTTTTATAGAAATAAAAATATTAATTATTTCTAATATAATCTTTCATATTCCAAGTTGTTGCATCAATACAATGTGTGACGTGAAACTGTATGTCAAAATGAAAATGTATGTCAAATGTATCACCCTATAAAATCGCCCTATGAAATAATAAAAGCTGAAAACGCGATTTAAATATTTGCATCCGTAAACAGAATGAGTATGCAATATTTTAAGTTGTAAACAACGTTGTTATCTTTGAATGAGAAGTAAATACATATTATTTATTTGTCATTCATAGATAATATTAATTTACTATAAACAATTTAACTCTTTGAAAGTGATTATTTTAGTAATATTAATTATTGGATTAGATCCACTGTTATAGGTGGTGATAGTGGAATTTAGGTGATGTAATTCGAGATCTAGCGGTTGATTGTGAATGGTTAGAGCTGCAAGATGATGGTAATGTTAAGATGGTCCACATCTTCGTAGCTTGTGGTTGATGGTCTTAGGAAGAAGGATCTCAGATCTGGATACAGTGGAATATTGTCTGGTGTTGTCGTTGTGGAGTCTCAATAGTTAGGAATTTAATGAAATTCCTTTGGTTTTACATAACTTTATTCGTTACTTGGTCGATTTAAGATTTATCTGAGACTATATTAGACTTTAAATGTTTTACTGAGACTATGCTCATGATATTGGGACTAATTCTAAATATTATTCTACTTACAAAGTTAATTCTTATTAATAAGGAGTGGGAGTTGTGATCGGGACTAGGGTTTGTATATATTGATGATTAAGCGTTCCCACTGGAATCGGCCTTGGCGGTTTTGTTTATTATAAGACTGGGACAAAGTCCTATGCATTTGTTTATATGAAAAAGATGATTGATTACGATTGTACGTGTAATGATCATGTATAATAGGGACTTGAATTCGGAGTAAAGGTATAGAAATATCGATGGGAATGTTTACGTTTGGTCCCATTTGTTTATATTAAAGTGTACCAAACTGGGATCACGGTAGAGATGTCTTTATGCTGATATATATGTTTGTATAATAATGCGACTAAGAGACGTGGATATCTCTAGTTCGTTAATACACTATATTAATAATAACAATTATAATAATAATGGTTGGACAGAACAACCCGGTATTACCATTTTTTGATATAAGATGTTATGCAAATTATGAAATACCAAACACTGACTATATATTAGAGAGAGGTTTACATTTGTATTTTCAGACTGCAAATTTTCCCTCATCTGCACGACGATTTTCCAGATCGTTTATCACCGGAAAATATTATATCCATCAATGTTAATACATGCATTCCTTTTTGGTAGTGGGCCTAGAGATTGACTTGTCTTGGTAAGTTAGAAATAGTTTGAGAAATTAATTTATAAAATTCTATTAATTTAGTTTAATTTATAAATAAGCAACTTTATTGTAATAAAATAATCGATTCCTGTTTCAAACCGCACAAATGACAAAAAAAAGAGGATTTTTTTTATATAGAAAAAAACGATACTTTATGAATAAAACATTATTGTGTCTACTAATTTTTTCGCATATATTTTTATTCTGTTATATTCTCTATAGTGAATCCGCACTGATTGAAGCCCTAATATGCAAAATTTCCGGATTTTTACTCGTATAGTGAAACAATTTTCTCCATATACACTAATGTAATCTACGATAATGCGTTCCATTTTGCGAGTTATTTTCTCACAACTTATTTTGTCGTTAAGCGAGGTTCCACTGTACATCAAAACTTTAAATGTTTAGTTTCAATATTAAAAAAATGTTTATTTTTATTTAATTGATACAATTAAATAAAAAAATATACCAATTATAAACGAGAGCCGGAATGGACGCATAATTTATATATAAATAATACAAATAACAAAATTGCTGAGTTTACAAACGCAAATCTTAATGATGTTGTTTATTATTTTTAAATATTAACACAGAATTTGAATATATCGTAAGTGAGTCAGGTCAAAAAGGTATCAATCCAATTGCAAATGTAATTTCATATCAGTTTATATATAAGTATATTTTATATGAATAATAAAAGTATTTCAACAGTTGATTTCGTACCAGTAAAATGGTAAGAGATGGTTTATTAAATGAAAAATTATAATCAAGTAAATATTTTTCAGATCGTGTTTCCAATTGCCATAATCCTAATTGGAATAATTCTAATAATCTATCTAATAATCACAAAGAACTACAACTATTGGAGTGATCGCAATACACCATTCATCAAACCAAAATTTCCATTTGGGAACGTTAAAGATATTGTATTTCGACGCATTTCAATGGGAAAATTATTCCAGAATGTTTATAACTCTTCAAATGTAAGCATCGTTGGAATGTGGGTGATCGATAAACCAGTTGTAGTGATACGGTCATTGGATATCATCAAGCAGATTTTAATAAAGGATATTACAACTTTTCCCGATCGAAACATTACTTATGAAGAGGAAAACAATCCTATAATGGCTAACATGTTGTTCTTTTCCAAAAATCCACAGTGGAGATATTTACGACAGAAAATGTCACGCATGTTTACGACGTTAAAACTGAAAGACATGATTTTCTTAATGAACAAGAATGGAGATGACATGTTACACCATATGCAGGAAGCTACTTGTGAAGTCTACGATCTCAAAGACGTATCGATGAAGTATACGGTAGATGCTATAACCTCTATAGGTTTTAGTATTAATGCTATGTGTTTTGAAAAAGATGACTCCAAATTTAATTCCGTCGCTGGAGATTTATTTTCACCAACTCAAGAAAATTATGCACGATTTATTAGTCACTTCCTTATGCCAAGAATTTCCAACTGGTTACAAGTAACTTTCTTCAATCTAAAACATCTAGAGTTCCTAAAAACAGCAGCTTGGGATATTATAAATAAAAGAATTAAATATTCTGCTAAGGGAAATGATTTGATTAGCATGTATATAGATTGGATGAAACTTGAATCTTCGAATGGATATAAATTTGGTGAATATTAAAATTTTAATTTGTGATTATTTTTAACATTTTTTTTCTAATAGAGGGAGATAGAGTTTCAAGTCAAGCCGTGCAATTATTTGTGGCTGGATTTGAAACAATAAGTTCAACTATTGCTTTCACTTTGTACGAGATAAGTTTCAACCAAACAATACAAGACAAATTGCGTGAAGAAATCCAATCAAAATATTTATTTGGGACTGAAGTTACATACGAATTAATAAAGGATTTAACTTATTTAGATCAAGTTATTTCAGGTAATTGTCAATAACATATATAAACTATGCATAAGTATTTATTTTTTGTTTCAGAAACTCTGAGAAAATATCCGGTTTTACCATTTTTGGACAGGCGATGTAATTCCGATTTCAAAATACCAAACAGCGATTATGTAATTGAAAATGGGATTTCTGTTTATATTTCTATTTTTGGTTTGCACTACGATCCGGAATATTTTCCGAATCCTCATGTATACGATCCAGAGCGATTCTCACCGGAAAACATCAAATCCATCAATCTTGATGCCTACATTCCGTTTGGAATTGGGCCCAGAAATTGTGTCGGTAAGTGCAATATAATGATTCAACATTAGAAAATGATGTTATTCAATACATTTAGGTAAAAGACTTGGACTGAATGGGACTAAAATTTGCTTAATAAAATTATTAAGTGAGTACAAGGTGGAAACGTGTCCGGAGACAGCGAAGAATATTGATTTTCATCCCATGAGTTTCACAATTGCACCAAAAATTGGATTAAAATTGAAATTTACAAAATTGTAGACACATTGTTATAATTATTTTATTTATATTTATGTATAATTAAATATAATGGTAATTTATATGAATGGTCAAATTAAAAAATAGTAAATATATCAATATAATATAAATTAAACTAATTTTTAAATTAAAAGTGTGATATTTTTGACTAAAAATTTGTTTTCTGAAAAAAGAAATGACTTTGCGTGACGTAACGTAAAACAAAAAGCTGTACTATGATTGATTTAATTATTTGCATACGTAAACAGAATGAGAATGAAATCATTTTAGTTGTAAATAACGTTGTTATCTCTGAATGACAAATACAATATTTTGTTTATTTTCTATAAATTGTTATATTGTTTCTAATTGAGTATTTTTAGATAGTTGTTTAATAGGTCTTGGTTTTGTTCCAGTGTAATAGGTGTTAGTAGAGTTAGAGTTAAGATGATGTAATTGGAGATCCGGCGGTTGGTTGTGAAGGGTTGTGGCTACAAGGGGATGATAATGTAAAGTTGGACCGCATCTTCGGAGTTTGCGGTTGTAGGCAGAAGGTGCTGGAAGAAGGAGCGAAAGAGATGGAGATGCGGAGGACGACATACCACTAACACTACCACCACAACCGATCCGGATCTCGGATCTGGGATCTGCATCGCAAATCAAGCAGCTTCTACATTAAACATCAGTTCACGCCGCCGTGTTACGCGCGCACGGGTATATTTATATTTACATATCCCGATATCATTAGTCCTTGTCGGAATTACCATCCGGCACTGTCAGGACTGCCAACAGTCTGAGACGGACCGATTTTTCCCCCATTACATGAACCACCGCGCAAACTTTCCCAAAATGCATTTAGCGCCAACGGATTTGAATAAATATGCCTTCATGAATATCAAATAAAATCTAAAATTAATTATTTCGACCGGTCGGCGTCGCGCGCGCTTCGTTCCCAAACTTATGCTATTATTATTTATGTATCATATGCACATAATAAGCAATGCGATGGATTGCATTTTCGGGTTACCGAATTGGAATAATAATGGTACGTGCATTCATCCGTGTGCACGTCCATAGCCAGATAGAGACACCAGACCCTCATCCTCCTCTCATCCACTGCCCATCACAAAACTGCACTTACCGAACGTCCATCCAACCGGTCTAGATGTCATTCCTCCTCTTTTTGTTCTTCCTTCCTCTACTGCTACTCTTCAAGCTTCTTCTCTGCCATCTCATCTCCGAGATCATACTTTTTTTCTTTTACTATTCCCCGTTTTCATTTTACAAGTAACTAGCTGTCATGTCACCGAACGACAAACGTGAATGGCAATTTAAAAATCACCTAACAGGATTCTTACTTATTGCGTATTGATTTAATAAATGTCTGCAAAAAAAGGAAGGAAAAACAGAAAACGAAAAACACAAATGAAGCCAGCAAAAACCATTTCCATCAATCACTTGACAACGTTTCTGAAATTATTATACTAGCAAAAATTTTAGATTGAATACATCTATAAACGTCATTGACCTACAACACATTCTACTTACCGTAATTATCAACAACTATTTTAATCTCTGAATTTGCACTTACTTCTTTATAATTATTGTACTTATCTTTAAACATCGAAATCTCACCTAACATCGAAACATAAAAAGCACACAATTTTATTAATACAATCTAATGTATTATTTTCTATATTTGTAGACGTAAAAGTTAGTAGATGCAAGTTTTGATATATAAAGTGAGTTGGAAGATTGCAAAATGGATCTGCTAAATTAATATATAAAAAAAAAAATTGTCCATAAAAGAGATTCGCTTACATTAGTTTTAATAAGGATAATTGTATAATGGCGCTAACAGATGCAGATCACAATCATCTGTGGGAATGTGTGTCATTAAATAACAGGAATGGTGATTTTGGAATCAATTTCAGCAAATATTCCTGTTCATATTTTTACGTTTCGATGGTGGTATAGATTTAATAAATGAATAAAAAGCAAGAGAGTAGAGAAGCTCCTTTGTTTTTGTTCCACGAAACGAAGAGATAATTTCGGGATGTCTTTGATGTTAATAACAGACGTCGCGGCCGGCGCGTATATGTGTAGATGAAATCTATATAATTGGGTTAGTGTATGCATGTATATTATATATATATGAATATATCTATATATATAGGAAAACAGGTAGCTTTGAAGACGTGCATCGGGGAATATAATATTTTATAAGTGCGGAGGAAGCGATGATGATGATGGTATAAAGCATACGCTGGTGGAGATATGGAGATAGCAGGAGATAACGGTGAGATAGTGCGCGGAATCTGGCGGCCCTATCGGTCCAGAAGAAAGAAGAACCAAGCCCCGAGGTCTTGGGGTGGAGTGCGAGGAGGCCCAGACGGCTGGAACGGAGACGGAGATGAGGCCAGATCAGGCCAGATGAGGATGGGGCAGAGGCGCACATGCTTATTACCAGGCAGACGAACTTCGCCGCAGGACACGATCCGACGACTCTCTTGCACACAGGATGAAGTAATATCTATCTATTGATTGATTCCCACTTCACCGTACCCCTTTTTTACATATTACCCTTACAACCAACAGCACCATCATTACCACTCTACCTTTTTCCATTTACATTACTTTTATTCTTCCACTCAAAAAAAAAATCATTTTCTAAATATATATATCATTGCAAAGATATCATCATAATATACAATAATTGAAATTTACAAGTTTCATTCTTATAAACCGACATTTAACTTAAATATCAACTGAATATGCTTCACTATAGTTGAAGTAAGTGCAAACATATCCAATCCTCAAGTAATTTTATTTATATTTGGAAAAGAGAAATAATTACAATTAAAATTATATAATTAACAAATACACATTTAAACTTCGTGTCTTTTTTTATTTGATTTGAATTTGTATTCATAACTGAGGCTTCGGTTCAAAGTATAAATATGCAAAAAACACTAAGATAATTAAATATCAGGTTATCATTTTCTTTAAATAGTCCTATCGTATATTTGGAAATGTTTGTCCCAGCTTATAATATAATTGTGTATTAATCAATGCAATTATTTGTAATCTATAGTCATGTTTTTTTTTTTTATATAAGACGATAACTAATTCAAATATAAATTCAATTCTTTTCATACCATCCGTTGTATTTGTATTTAACACTTGTGTAGTATATTTTCGTATAATTTAAGTGTTGGGTAAAATTAGAAGTGCATCAATTAGAATCTACAAGATGTTCCCAATTATTTTCTTTGCATTTGTGTGTCTGCTGATATATAAGTACATCACTCAAAGTTATGATCATTGGCGAAAAAGAGGTATACCCTACGTCCGACCAAGTTTTCCATTCGGAAACATTTATCCGTTGGTTTCCTTAAAGAAATGTTATGGAGACATATTAGCGCAGTTACATAATTCGTCGAAAGGTCCAGTAGTTGGCTACTGGGCAATTAACAATCCTTTTTTGTTGATTCGAAGCCCTGAACTAATTAAAAATATACTGGTGAAGGACTTCAATCACTTCAGCGAACGTGCTGTTTCTTCAAACAACCACGACCGTATTTTCAATGACATGTTATTTTCTATGCATTTCCACGACTGGAAAATACTGAGGACCAAACTGACACCACTATTTACAACTACAAAGTTGAAATATGTTATGCATATCTTCAGAGAATCGGCGCAAGAAATGATTGATTATCTGGAAGAAGTTTCTGGAGATGCAGTGGATTGCAAGCAAATTTCCAGTCAACTGACTACGAATATTTTTGTTGGTACCGGTTTCGGTTACAAAATAAATTGCTTCAAAGAAGTTGACAATCTGTTTTTTGTGAATTCGAAAAAAATTTTCGAACCGACGATAAAATCTGTTACTCAATTTATTTCCATGTTTATTTTACCGCAGATTTCAAGTATTGTAAAGTTTAATGTATTTACGGAGGATTTTCTGGACTTCTATAGATTTCACTTTTGGAAGGTTATAAAAGATCGAGAGGAATCGGGTGTGAAATATAATGATTTTATTGATTGTTATATCCAATTGAAGAATGAAGGAGATTTAGGCGATGGCATTACACTAGGTATGTACTAATTTATGAATTTTTTTTTATATATATATATTACATTTATAGATGGAGATAAGCTTATGGCGCAGGCTATTCAATTTTTCATGGCCGGTTTTGAAACTACAAGTTCTTTAATAGCATTTACTCTCTACGAACTAGCGATGAATGAAGAAATCCAAGATAAATTGAGGTTTGAAGTCGTCGATGCACTAAAAAAGGAAGCCGATGGCAACTTTGGTTATGAAAATATAGCAAATCTAAGTTATCTTTCCAAAGTTATGTCAGGTAACCAAAAATAAAATTATTAACTTTTAATTCTTAATGACATTATTCTTGTATGTTTTTTTTAGAAGCGGCGAGGAAATATCCAACACTTCCCTTCTTAGAGAGAATATGTGTTAAGGATTACCAAATTCCTGAAACTGATATTGTCTTAGACAAAGGAACTAAATGCCAATTTTCCACTTTAGGAATACACTATGATCCGGAATATTTCCCAAATCCAGATATATTTGACCCAGAGAGATTTTCACCAGAAGGAATTCAATCTCGTCCGGCTTATGTTTATATGCCTTTTGGACATGGCCCACATAATTGCATAGGTAAGAGAAATTTAAAAATATCTAATATTAACTAGAATATTTCAAAAATAATTAATATTTTTTATTTTATTTTTATAGGAAAAAGATTTGGATTATTGACTGCAAAAATGTGCATCGCACAAATTCTAATCAAATTCCAAATAAAACCTACTGAAAGCACACCAACAAAGATTAAATTACACAGCAAATCATTTATAATCAAACCTCAAGATGTTTTCTTAAAATTTGTAAAATTCTAATTTCTGCATTTCTATCTTCAATGTAATTAATGGTTATTATTATTAAGATTGCTCAGTAATATATTATATGTATATATATTATAATTTTTATTTAAAAAATATGGTTGTAAATGCGACTAGTCTGAAAGTCCTCGTCTTGTCTTAATTTTGTAGAAAAAAATTCTTCCAAGGTAATTGCCGTCTCACAAGAAGATTTAATTCTCGGGTATCGATAAAATATAATTTTTCAAAATTCTCGGGAAATTTGTTGTATCTGTTACAAGTTTATTACTTTAGCAAATCGTTTTATTCTAATAAACAATTATTTTCTACATATTATTATCATATTGTACTTATATTACGACGTAAATAAATATTTAATAATTATGAAAGTAATTGCAGAAAAATGACTTAACAATTTCTTAATTAATCTTGTTTATATTTTATAATTGAACGATTGTGTTCAAAATATATTTACATTAAAAAATATTGCATAATATAAATACTGCGTCATTTTTTTGATTAAATTGTAATTGGAAGTATTATTAAGCAAGATTTATATTTAATTTCTACACATCTGCACCTAATCCTCGATTTACACGGTACTTTATCAACATGATATCGCTCTTACAAAAGTCGATTTACACATTTTTCTCAAGATTCTATCTGTCGTGTAAATAGAAGGATGAATCTTATTTCGATGTTGTTTGTTGTAGTGAAAATGAAATGAGAATGAATAAGAAATTGGGTCGGTCTGTCCATTGAGGTTCGTAATCTCGGTGTTGGTAGTGAAAAAGAAGGGCCCCCAATAAAAATTGATGTCTGGCCCATGCATACCATTAAGGCCGACGGGTCAAAGAAACCGCCGCGTATCGCGTGCTCGAAATCGCGGCTACCAAGAGATGGGCCCCTGGATGGACGACCACGAAGAGGCGCATTTGAGACAAAAGAGTTATAAAGTTTATTATTATTATTATTGTTGCAGACGCTACTATAACCATAGTAGTCGTTGTAACCATATCCACGGTTGTGCTAAACCGTATAGGACCATACCAACTCGGAGTAATCTAATCCAGGTATCAAAAGGCAATTAGATAGAGGCGGTGGTAACGAAGAGAACGCGAATTGTTGACCTGCATTTAAATATTTGAATATTAATGGGGGGCCTCAAGTTGACGAAGTCCGAAAGCACCACACACCACACGTATGGAAGATACACACATTGTCCATCAGAGTCCGCATGAATTGCTAATACCTGCATTAAATCTGTTTCACATCCACTTAATAATAATCAGCCTCTGTCTCTTTGATAACTGACTAAATATCAAGCAAAAAAAAATGAATGCAGCGCACAAAAAGACACACAAATAAAGAGCAAAAACTGAGGTGGAAAACCAAAAAAGGACGGACAAGAAGATATTTAATGGTCGCCGCATCCGTCAGGTGGGCTGAGACGCCGGTGTGTTCGGCTAGCCTCCAGCAAACAATTCATAATTTCTTCTTCGTCCTTTTTCTCTCTCCTTGCTGCTCCTCTTTTATTTCTGTTTTCTTTTTTCTTTCGTATCATTCCCTCTTCCTTCTCCTCCACCAAACTCATTCTTCCTTCGTCTTTGCCATTGCACGAGAGAGGAGACCAACTTTGCCTAAAATTAAAAACCAGAACCCAACCCTTATCGCACATCAACATCTACACATCTTCGCCACATCTATGCTTCAGCATCTATACCCATCCCTGTGTTTTCATGCACATACACACAACACATACAAAAACTAAAGCTAAAAAACACGTGGAGTGGAAGAAAAAAGGAATAAGGTTGTAATTTTAATATTTGGTTGACCGTTGCTGACCGAAGAGAGGTGGTGGCCGCACGATCCCAAGGAATTCAGGCAATTACCGCCGGGCACGTGTAATCCCATCCAACCCCAAACACTTCACTGGAAAACAAGACGACACGGAATTCCACCAACCGTTAACAATCGCCTAACAAACCTTAAAATTAATTAAGTCACCAGTGTTTTCTTCTTTGTTTACACCACTTTGCTCACGCAAACCACTTAACTTTATCATGTAAATGTGATCAATTATTGTAATATTTAAAAAAAATTATTACATTTAAAAAATATTGATTATTTTATATACATTTACTAACAAAAGTACAATTTGTCAATATTCAAAAATATTTTAATACTAATAATATGTTGTTAAAATTATGTATACTATAAATTATTTTTTCTCCAACAAATGTTTAATTATTAAGAAATGTAGTTTTCAATGAAATACTTTTAATTTCTTTATAAATTTTTACAAACTTTAAGCTTTTATTGAAATTTATATACATTTCGAACAAATATATATTGAATTATTGAATAACAACATTAAAATGTGTTTATTTATATATTTTTTACAATAAATATTATGTTAGTTAGATATGGACTTCATTTAAAATTAATGATGCTAATTAAAGTATTTATTGTTATAAACTTTTGAACAAATAACTCGAACGATGCAGTTGAATTATGCCTTAAGGCGATTATGAAGATGAGCTTATGACGATAATACATTTCGCATGTCAAATTATATCACGCCGTTTCATCTTGTGCCACTGTTTTCATGAATTTCAAAAACGCCGCGCTTTGCATATCGCCACGAATCAACACACGTGCGAAATAAGCATAATATTTCATAAACGCGTATTTGTAAAACACTCAGTATTAAAATTCCCAAACTAACTACATTATTAAAATAATTGTATTCTTTTATGAAACTTTACTTTCTAGTAAAACATACATTTAAATAACACAATGTTATTATATTGTATTTCGCAAATATTTCGATTTTTGTGAATTTAACAAAAAAATGCTTATAGATTTATGATCATGTACCGTGAAGGAAACCACTTGAAAGATCCTCCAGGTTTTAGGTTAATACTGCTTGATTCATGAGGAAGAAGTCTGTTATTTTATTAACGCATAAATCACATACATACTTGGTGAGCAGATAAAGACCTGCTGTCCGTACAATGCTGATAAAGATTATTAATAATTATTTATGGTTCGTGTCTGTGATCTGACCTTTCGCCTCCAAACGTTCTACACGTTCGGCACAAAATATCTATGTCATTGATTCTCAATAATTTCCTGTTTCCAGAAAACGTACAGCTTTGAAAATAAGCTCTGATTCCTAACAGGAATCCTAAAGAAAAACGTATGCATTTTTAAACAACTCACTTCCTTGAGTTTTAGTCTTAATTTTAATGGCCTATACTCTATCATTATTTACTTGCTTCTTTTAAGAATACGGTAAATAGTTGTAAATAATGAATCTTGTTGTAAAATTAATTATGGTTATATCGGTAAAGTCAATTTCGTTAAAGATTAAAAAGTTGAACATTCCGATTAAATACTAGCGGTTTTTAATGCGTTTAGAGTATGCGACGTAATGCGGTGCTATTAAAATATTTATAAATGAATGTTTTCTAATAATTCATATCGGACTTGTAATGAATGAGAAACATTTTAATATCCGCCAAAGATAAATGAAATCTGAACGTACACGAATTGGATGAAAACAAAAAATGGTATTAAAAAGAATATTGGATATAAAAGTAAGGAGAGAGATAAGGTGGTAATGATGGAAATGGATGAGACGTGAAATCGGAATGAATTGCGAAATAAAATGAAGCCATTTAAATCATAAGCTGAATAATTGCATTCATAAATTGCGGTCGCAATTTATCGGCGCTATCTTGCTGTAATTATTTTTACGATTGGAATTCCGTTAGTTCGAGAGTAACATGTGTACTACATTTTATTATGATTCTGGCGCGCTTTTCTCTTTCTGATTCGATATATAAATATATTTAGTATTTCCTTTTTGATGAATGAGATAAAGCGGAATGACTTAAAACGGCGCGAGTAAATATTTTCCATCGGGGACATAAACATCGGAGCCGGCGACGTTTTTAATTTGTTGGAACTGCCGATGATAAATCATTCGGTTTCTGCTGCTACCACTACTGCTGCTGCTGATCTACCAGATCTACTCGAAGATCTACGGCCACGATCTTTTCAATATTCAATTCAATTGCGATAGTCACATACATCAATTAGCGCAATCTAATTCTCGCACATGCGGACACATCACCGCCGTTCCATAAATTTACAATATTTATGTATTTACATTCTAAATCGCTCCATTATAGATTTATTAGTGTTTATTACGCATCTATAAATTTATTTATTCATTGCTAATGTGTTCATTATCGCATACAAAGCAGGTGGGACGATTACTTTTGAAAGCTTTACTATGTATAATTTCATTTAATCTCTTTATTAATACAATAATAAAATATACAGAAATATATTCATTACAACTATTTACATTTATTAGGTTACATCATTGTCATTCCAGTGAAGATATATTAAGAAACTATAATATCACATTATGTAATTTAGGTTCATTTATTTAAAAACAACAACATAATTTACAAGATTAAATTATTAATTTTTATATTTGGTCAGAAAGACCTAGTTGTAATACTTTTTTTGTTATCTGATATAATGAAATCTATCGAACATAATTCACTTTGAATTGTTCAAAAACCAAACCTTTTTTCCAACATTATGTTGAATTTATATTTATATAAATTCAACATAAATTCAAATATAAAGACTACTCTTAATATATATTTGCATAGTAAAAAGTTGGAATCAATTATTTTACTTAAATATTAATTTTTAATCATTTTATGAAAACATTATTTTTTTAACTAATTTATCAAAAGTTTTTAATTACATAAGCTTGTTTACTGAATGTTATTAAATAATAGGTTTAATTATGAGAATACTCTTAATACTTTTACAGGATTATGTGCGAAATGGAAAATATGAATAAAGTAAATTTGATTAATTATAATATTAAGTAGTTGAGTTTATAATTTGTCATGAGTCATACTAATTGAATTAATTTTTTTATAATATTTTTATTTTACAAACAAACATTTATTCTTATACACAATGCT